TGACAAGCCTCACTTCGGCCCCAACATCTGCGATGGGCACTTTGACACCATCGCCATCCTCAGGGGAGAAATGTTTGTGTTCAAGGTAAAAAGCTGCTGGAGAAAGTTTGGGCCATTTATAGCGATATCATTTATAGATTGTTATCTTGTTGTCTATGTCATCTTGTAAGTTTCTGAGAATTTTCTTTCTTTTTTTCCCCCCTATCAGGATAAGTGGTTTTGGCGGGTGCGTAATAACCACGTGTTGGATGGATACCCAATGCCAATTGGTCACTTTTGGAGGGGGTTGCCCACTCATATTAATGCTGCATTTGAAAGGGATGATGGGAAATTTGCTTTCTTTAAAGGTAAGTCTGGCTTTAACATATCGCAACGAAATTGTTTTACTATTATTATGAAATTAAAAAAACATCTCTCTGGTTTTCTTGCTCTACAGGAGACAGATACTGGGTGTTCACCGAATCAATTCTTGACTCTGGCTACCCCAGGAGTCTTAAAGAGATGGGCACAGGGCTTCCCAAAGATCGAATAGACGCTGCTCTCTACTACACCCCCACTGGACAGACTTATTTCTTCCGGGGAAACAAGTTAGTCATTGTCCGTTTTGTGTGTGCGTGTGTTTATCATATGCAGAAGTTTCAAAAGTAGGTGATTACAAGGAAACTCCCCCTGACATCACCGCCAGTAAAAGATATGTTTTGACCATATGAGGTTAAAACATGTAAACTCAAACACTTACCATCCAATCCAAATCTGCCTTGAGGGAACTGTTACGCTTGCTGAGCCTTTCCATGGGTATAAAAAGTGGATGACATGTGGCAGTTGAATTGTAGTAGTCGGATTATAAAGTGGATATAGCTGCGTACGTTACTGCACTTTTCCTAAGACCTCAGCTCGCGGTCGTTCGTGGTAGTTGAGCGGCAGTGTCTGCAGACACAACACTGACTGTGGCTGTGCAGTTTTTACATTAGAAAGCAAGTCAAGAAAGTTAGTTAATGTCTGTAAGGACAGTTCTTAAGTTAAGTCGAGTCACTCTACACAAGTCAGCTACAAATGGTCTACACCAGTTTGAAGACTAATGCCTAGCTTCAAGTCCTGTAGGCACAAACAGGTCTATCAACACCAAGTTCTAAACCATTAAAGCAAAGAAAACTCAAGTTCTTAGTAGTCTGTGGCAGGTTCAATTTAATTGAACTAGTTTAAAGCTATCCAAAACTAAACCCAAGTCTATGTCTGTTCTCAAGTCCAACCGAGTCATGTATTTAGTTTGAGACAAGTCCAAGATAAGTGTCAGGTCTTTTAGGAAAAACCAGAGTCCACCCACAACTGTTTATGTGGGTAAACAGGAGAGTTTCTAACAGTGGCCGAATCATCAGTTCACCATCTCTCTTTTTTCTCTCCTCTCGTTTCCTGTTTAGCTATTACCGTTTCAATGAAGCGTCCCAGACAGTTGACGATGGCTATCCGAAAACTATTAGCGTGTGGCAGGGCGTTCCTGATAACATCAAGTCAGCCTTCATGAGCAAAGATCAAGGTAAGGGTGGCATGTGTCAGATTATCTAGATTATTCATCACATGTCACTGTGACTGGATAGTTATTGGTACATGTTGT